TCTCCTGGCGTTGGCCCGCCTTGCTGACAGGGGCACGGCAGCAGTTTAGCAGCACGCACGGAGTAGCTGGGGATGGAATCAATTCACGTTTCCAAAGTGAAAAAAAAAAAACCAAAAAACCTTGCTGGTATGCTTTAGACTTATTTCCTATCCCCTGGCTGCCAAATCTGTGAGCGCAGCAGCTGTGTCTGTGGGCTGCGTGGGGAAGGGCGGGCAGTTCCCGAACTGCAAGCCGAGTGCTCCATCAGCAGGGCAAGGCTCCGTTCCACAGGCAGAAGGCTCCCGGCTCCTGACCAGCCCTCGCTCTGCTTTTTTGCAGGTTCCAGAGGACCGCAAATTGAGCACGAGCTCCACCGTTTTGCAGGAGCGAAGCACGGGGACAGCTGCAGCGTATCAACTGCGAAGTCCTGATTACGAAGACATGGGCCTGACCTTCCTGCGTGTAAGCGTTCCGTCCCCCTTTCCTGTCGGTGTCCCTGCTGCAGGATAGCCTGCCCCTTCCTCCCCTCCCTAGGACTACTCAGAATTAACCGGTTGTGTGACCTCTTGGCTTCAGGAAAGGGAAGTATTTGTCATCCCTGGAAAAGGGGCTCCTAGCAGCTGACCCTTTGCCGTGCCTGTTTGGAGTTTCAAGCCAGGAGCTCGTGCGGTTCCGTCACTGTTGGATCCCGCACCGGCGACTGCCGTAAATCAGCGCCTCATGGAGGCGAAGGGGCTGAGCCACGCTCCTCCCCAAGAGCAGGTCGGCTCCTTTCCGTAAATTGCTGCGCACAAGGCGCTTTCAGCCCAGCGTTGTCTGCCCTCCCCTTTCGCGGTCCGTTAGCGCTCTGTTTACCAACCGCGACGCAAAGGTTGGGTCTGAGAACGTGTTTAACGGGAGTTGGTGGTAGGAGCATCTTCTGCACCTGCCCGCCTGGATTAGCAAGTGAACCCAGTGAGCTCAGGTTCCAGGGAAGATGGATAGTGATTAAAAAAGGAAAAAAAAAAAAACCAACAAAACTCTGTGATCAGATTTATAACAGCCATATACGAGGAGAGTGTGATGTAGAGGATTTTTTCACTGCTAATGGCAGTGGCTTTTATTTTAAGCCTTTTTTTTTTTTTTTTACATTAAAAATTTTATTACAAAAAATTTAACAGCAAGGCAGTTTCTCAGTTGTCAGTCACCGTGAGCCAAACAGTTTTGCATCAGCTTTAATACAGAGCTAGATTCACACAGCAGCCACGCTCGTGATCCAGAAGCCCTTTGAGAAATGAAGGGGCAAGGCAGAAAGCAGCAGCAGCACCCCTGCAATCCCTTACACGCTCGGTGTGCGAACGCCGCTGCCGTGGAGAACGAGGAGATAGGGGTTGTCTGCAGCTTAAAAAAATAAGCTTACCCTTTCTCTTCTGATAATCTGGAACGTTTTGGTCTGATGTGCCTTGGCAGACACGAGTTTGTGTTTTGAGGGATTCCCCCCCCCCCTTTTTTTTAAAAAAAAAAGGAAAATTTTCCACTGTCAAAAGACAAACTCTTTTTCTTCCCCAAAGAATGGCAAGTCACCGTTCACTGCTTTAAAAAGCCATGCACTAAAACATTTTTACTCCCCAAGCAATGCCTCTTAGAGACTGTTCTTAAAATGCTGGTTAGTACGGGCTGGCAGGGGAGGGGAGGGGGAAAACTGCCCCGGACGTTCCACGGCTGCTCTCAAGTTTGTCATTCGTCTGTTGGTGTTGGTTGAACAGAGCTTGGGGAAGAGGAAAAAAAAAAAAGAACCAAACCAAAACCCACATTGCTTAAGGTAACAAAACTGTGATTTCTCATTGCTTCAAGCCTTCCTTTCGTCATTCAACATGGAAGAGACCGTAGTCTTTTCTTCCACTAGGGCAGTACCTAAAGCGGTCACCAACACTTTTTTTTTTAATTCGGTTGTTCTCTCTTACCTTACGTAAATTCTACAATTTTTAGCTTTTAATTATTTTCATGCGTCAAGTAACTCCTCTGCTCACTTTAGGAAAAAAAACCCACAGTGTTTCTATAATAGCAAACCCAGATGCTGTTTATTCTAAACGCGTTCATGGGGGCAATAGGGGGATTTCTTTTTGTGCTTGTTAACTACGCAGGACTGGCTTTTCTAAAAGCATTTATCGATGCCTCGGAGCAACTGAGAGAAAAAGCAGCGCCCCAAAGTACGACTCCTAACAGCACGCTGTTGGTTGTATTCTTTTACTTGCAGGAAAGCGGCGGGACTCGCCTGCAGCCACGGTTACCTTTTTTGGGGGCTTACAAAACCGTGCATAGGAATGGAGATGAACGTCTGACATTGTGTAAAAGGGAGAAAACTCAGGTGAGTAGAGATGTTACAGGGTGGGTTTTTTTTATTTTTAATGATTACAGCTTAGTGATCAAAAAATATGCTCTGCTACCCCCTTTCTTTGATGAATCGGTTTTTATCAGATACTGCTCTAGCGTACCAGCTACTTTGAATAAATGAGCAGTACAGACATGAGGCGGAACTATTTCCCATTTTTCTTTTTATTTGTTTTCTTAAGTACTGGCTGGACTTTGTTTCACATCTGCCAAAAGCACAGGCAAAATGCAGGAAGGTGCAGGGCTAAGGATAAACAGTTACGTAGGTCCCGCTGCTAACAGGCTCAGCAGAAATTTAACAACGCATTTTCCAGCAAAGATTTTGAAGTGTCTTCTGAAAGTATGCAGTTTCTCAAACTATTGTACCTTAAACTGCATTCTCAGCATGCCAGAGGTATTTCTAACATGTTAACAGTTGGTTTCATCTACGTTTTGGCTCAATTTTCAAGATTTTATTGAGGCAGAAAATCCAATTAACTAAAATTGGAATTTTTTTTCCTTGGTAAAAGACTTCAGGCTTGACCCCTAAATCAGTAAAAGCATCATCATTCAGAAAATGTTTAGGTAGAGTCTGGCGCGGCTCCCTTTGATTCTTGTCCTCGTGCTAGCGGAACATTTAGACCTTTTACTAACGGTCCTGCTGTTGAAGAGAAAGGGCTTAGGCAAGCGCACCCCCCGCAGCCTCTTCCTGCGCCGGCGGGCCGCGGGGACGGCAGTTATTGCTCCCGCAGGAATCCGACGAGCAGAATTCAAGTTCTACAGCGGCCGCAGTCTCATCTCCCTCGGAGGTTTCAACTCTGTCTCCATGTAAGGACGACGCGGCACAAACTAAGGTCCCTGAAAGTCACTGAGTTTGTTCTTCCAGCGCGGGCACCGCTGACTTTGAGGACGCTTTTCCTGTGCGGGTGGCATCAATCAGAACTGCTCCGGCCCTGGCTCCGTGGGAAGCGCAGCGCTGGAGCGAGCAGCACCGGAGCCTTCCCAGCGCTTCCTCGCTCACG